CATCTCCAGCCATACTTTAAAGTGTTAAGTTCAGTGGCAGAAGACTTTCCCATTATCATACAATCACTGCTGCTGTTCATTCCCAGACCTGTCTATCTTCCCAAGCAGATATTGAACACCCTCTAAAGAAATGTTCTCCTTTCCCTACCTTTGCAGAAACCTCTATTTTACTCCGTAGTGACTTAATTATTCTAGCTATCGCACAAATGTGGAATCACACAGTATTGTTCTGTGAGTAGCTTCTTTCACTTGTGCTAGTGTTAAAGGTTCATCCATGTATCAAAATTTCATTCTTTTAAGGCTGAATAATGTCCCTTTGTATACATGTATCACATTTTACGTAATCATTTACCTGTTCATAAATAGATTGTTTCCACCGATAGGACATTTTTTTAATAATGATGCTGTGAACACTGATACAGTTAGTTGTTGCTTTTAATTCTTTGAGGTATATGCCTAGAAGTAGAATTACTCTATGGTTATACTCTTCATGTAATGGAGCATAGTGGCAAAGGCAGGTGAGCCTGGGAAGTGGGAGGCAGGAGGAATCAGTAAGTCAAGGTAATACTCAACTAAGCCTTTCTGGGGGCAGCCTGGACAAAATCAACAACAAAGGCACAATCCTGACACTTCTAGAAATGCAGAGAAATTTTAATTCAGAACAAGGCTTCTCTAGGAAGAAAATCATCCAAAGACTTTCTAGGTCTGTGTGATCCAGCTGGGATACAGACATGGATCCCAGGAGACACAAGCAAGCAGCTCTCTGAGTTCAAGGCCAACATGGTATAGAGCAAGTTTCAGGTAAAGAAAAGCTTAGGTCCAGGTGGTTCAAGCATTTAATCCAAACACTCAGGAGACAGAAATATGCAGATCTCTGAGTTCTAGTCAATTCAGTTGAGTCAGTGAGCTGAGAGGTAGTGAGTGGAGTTCAGTACATGGCAGTTCAGTTTGTGAAATTCAGATCAGTTTTACCTGGAGAGTTTTACATGCTGAAGATAGAACAAGCTAAACACAGATGAAGACAGAATGAGCCAAAGAATGAAAGGAGGCAGATTAGAAGAGATTTCTGGAGTTAGTTTGAGCCAAAACAACTGAGTTCAAAACAGCTAGTCGGAGTTCAAAAAGAACTAGAGAAGTTGAGCTTATTCAGCAGTAAGTATCAGAGGCAAAAAACATTCTAGGCCCAAGTTAGATTGTACAGAGGCTAGAAGCTTCCAGGACTAGGCCTAGGTTAGCAGACGGAGGCAGTCAGCCAAGGAGACAATTTTACCAGGTGAATAGAAGTTACTTTTACGTAGAAACTTCACTTTCTTCACTGTATTTGTTTTCTTTTTTATTAATTTTTAATTTTTTATATTAATTACAGTTTATTTACATTGCATCCCAGCTGTAGCCCCCTCCTAATCTCACCTGTCCCTCCTCATCTCCTCCCTGCCCCTCTCTAAGCTAGGATCAGATGGAAGGGGAAGAGGACCTCCCCTATCAGATTTGTTTTCAAATGTAGCCGGAAAGCCAAGCCAAACTTTTCTCTGTAGCTTTATCTTCTACCTACCTGAAAAGGGAAAGGGGGATGAAAAGCCTTTCCTGGGTCTAGATACAACCTCTTTGCTTGCACTTTTCCATCTCTTCCTACAAATCAACTGAGTCTCCAGTTTCTATCTCCTCTCCACTGCTATTTTTAGTATTATGAAAATGGACTATGTTAAATATATTGATGTAATAATCATCTTGTAGCAAGAAAAAAAATATTCAAGCAAATGGAAACAACTTGCCTTTTTCCTCCCTATTGGACACTTATAAAGGGATAAAATGATAGCTAGAAATGTCGGATTCAACAAGATTGAAGGAAACTAAAATTAGGCTACCTTTCCCAAAATAAAAGGCTATGATGAAAAATTTTGTTGTTCTAGTATTAAGGGGTCCAGTCAGGGGCCTTGTCAGGTACTTTTCCTGCTGGGTCACATACTCAGGCCTAGAGTTTGAAATTGTTTTTTTGAATCTTTGGGATGTAACTTGAAAGGGCACACATGTGAAGAGCCCATCTGTCCTCCCTTGCTGCACACATCTTCAAAAGTTTCTCTTTTCAAAGTCTCTTCTTTACAAGCACATACATTCACTTTCATCCTCACCTCCGCACTCCAGCCAATGTGAGGTGCCGTTTACACACTGTCACTGAATGCAGCTCAGCAGTTGTATTTTTACCACAACCTTGCTTCGAATCATCGATAAATATATGTACTACCAGTACTCTCCTTACCTTAGCAACCATTTCATAGGGAAAACCCAGCCTTACCCAGCCATTTAAGGCACTGGAACATGTCTTGACCCAACTGTGTGCTTTGCTGTATTAGGTTGAAGTCTGACATCTCTGGATAGCCATTTGCTTGCACTCCCATCTATTATGGTTAACTCCCTTTTCTCAGCAAGACCCCCCCCCCCATATGTGGCCCTTCATCTTGAAAGGAGTGTCACATGGCCCTCGGGGATGATTATAGGCTAGACCCTTTCCCAATAGAGAAACCGGTTCAGCTAGCTACCTATTCCTAGAAATAGCCCACCCTGCTAAGGATCTTAGTCTTCAGCAGTGACCTTCAATTGTACTTGGAGATTCCCCCATCCATAGACTAATTAAGTACTATTTTCTCCTCCTTGTGATAGGAGCATGCTACTGTATGGAAAATGAAGCGCTGCACACGGTACCACCACAGGTAAATCAAGTACCCTAACCTCATCAAATCAAACACATTTACCCTCGAAATCCCTCCCACTGCCCAAGGTTTATAAATCCCTGATTCCAAATAAATGTGCTGGGGTTGTATGTTTTGTGATACTATCAGCCTTCCAACATGGCCATCTGAGATTGGTCATTTATTTCCCCACTGGGCTGTGTCTCACCAGGCCTACCCTCCAGCCTGCTGGGCCTGGGCCTTGGCTGCAAGCGGAACAGGCATCGGCTTTCGCCTGCACTTCTGCCGTGCTTAGCACAGCAGTTTAACCCAGCGCTGTAACACGTTGATATCGTCATAGGTTTTGAAACACCTCAGTTTCCAATGCTACTGGCAATCTCATTCTAAAAGAGCTAAACTGTAACACTCCATGGAAAACCTTTCCACACTCCAGCCTAGCACACTCTGGCCTCTCTCTAAAGCACTGTAGCTAATCCTGAGAGAAACAAAAGCCCCATTCCCTGTCCAGAAACAAAGTTCCAGGCCGACCACCGAAATCCAGCCCCCACCCCACCTCCACCACCAAAATCCAGGCTCCTGCCCAACAGAGAATACCACCAACAAGGTATTTAATTCCCAAAAAGCTTTTTTTTTTCTTATATTTTTTCCACTTCCTCTTCCAGTGTTCTCGAATTTCTAAAACTTTCTCAGACACAAGATTTTAAATAAATAGCACTTTCTCAAATTTTCCTAAGGAACAAAACAGGTTCTTCCAGTTTGTCTCAGCTGAGGCCACTTTTGGTTTCGATGAAAAAGACACCATCACCCCCCTTAAAACCTCCCCCGTGAAAAGTCCTGACACTGGAAGTGGATGAAGAGAGAACTGAGTGAAAGAGGGAGTGGGAAAGGGGAGAGCAGGGGTGGGGCGAGAGGGCCAGGAGAGATACGAGAAACACCTCTGAGCAAGCTGGGAGCACATGGGAGTGACTCTAGCTGAGACTCCCAGCAGTGGGGGATGTGAAGACTGAAGTGGCGCCTCCTAGCCAGGCAGGACTTACAGTGCCTCGGGAGGGGGACACAACCCATCCACAAAACCTTTGACCCCAAATCTACCCTGCCTACAGGATAATCAGAGATAAAGATGGAGCAAAAAAAGAGGGAATGGCCAACCAATGACTGGCCCAACCTGAGGGAGGCCCACCCCGTAGGAGAAAGCCAAGCCCAGACACCATTAATGATACTCCGCTATGCTTGCAGACAGGAGCCTAGCATAGCTGTTCTCTGAGAGGTTTCACCCAACAGCGGAATAGGACAGATTCTGTGACCCACAACCCAACATTAGGTGAGTCTAGAGTGTTGTGGGGAGTTGGGGGGGAAGAGGTACCCAAAGGGGACAAAAACTCCTTAAGAAGACCAACAGAAGAGGACCTAACCGAGGACCATGGAGGCTCAGAGACTAAACCACCAATCAAAGAGCATGCATAGACAGGACCTCGGCCCCTACCCGTAAGCAGCTAATGGGCAGCTTGCTCACGAGCATCCTTCTAGCGGGGTTGTCTCTGACACGGACTCTGCTGCCTGCTTTTGGATCACTTTCCCCCAGCTAGGCCGCCTTGTGCCGCCTCAGTGAAAAAGGATGAGTTTGGACCTGAATGTGACTTCATGTGTCCGGGAGGGCGGGCTCCCCTTTTCCGAGTGGAGGGGAGAAGAGGGTGAGAGGGAGGAGGCTGTGATAGGAATGTAAATAAATAAAAACAAACAAAAAGCCCTGTACCCAACCCTGTTCTAAGAACTGGGGACATGCCCCAGCTAACTGTACGTTCTGGCTACGGTTAACCTGCCTGCTTACTTTACTTGCCCCTGCCATTGCAAACAAGCACGCAGTTTTCCTGTGTTCTTTGCCTTTAAACGCTTCCTGTAAAGCGCATTCGGGCTGCTCTGGGGGAAGAGTTTCTCCGAAGTCGGTCGTGCGGGGCGGTTCTTGAGCAGCGAGCCAGCCACACTGCCGGAAGCCCCGTCAGGCGACAGAAACCTCAGAGCAGCGAGGGACTCCCACAGCGGCCCCTCGGGAAGCCCGCCTATGACGTCCACTCCGCCAGGGACGCAGGCGCGGCCGCGCGAGCACGCAGAGCCTCGGCGCCCGCGCGACAGGAAGGGGGCGCGGTCGGGACGGGAGGGGAGGAGCCGGATGGAGAGGAGGAAGGGGCGGGGCTGGCGGGAAGTGGCCCTCATGGAGGAGAGGGAACCGGAAGAAAGTAGGCGGGGCGAGGTCGGGTCTACCTGCTGTACCTAGCGTCACTTCCTGTTTGCCGGTATTTCTGCTTCCGGGTCAAGGGTTTCCGTCGCCTACAGGTCCTCTCCCCGGCTGATCGCGGTCCTCGGTGACGGCGCCTCCTGACGCAAGCCGGGGCGGCTTCTCTGCCCGCCCGCCGGAGGCTGGACCCCTCACCGCCCGGGACGCCAAGGCGCTCCTTACCTTCCGGCCCAGCCTGGGGTCCTGGAGGGGCCCTGAGCCCGGATGCCGAGCGGGGCCGCGGGCCCACTGAGGCAGCCGTGCGCGGGCCTCCGGCCCCTCGGGCGGACCGCGGAGCCCGGCCGCCTTCCGGCGCCCCAGAATTGCCCGCTCCCGTCCCAGCTCGGATGGGCCTTCCCGCTCAATAAATGTGGCTGCTGAGGCGGCGGTGGCGGTGGCCGGACCTGCTGCTGCTTGGCTCCAAGTTCACCTCCGCCGCGGCGCGTTGCTGCCCCCCGGGGCTGCCGCCGCCAGCTCCTCGTCCCCTGGGCCTGGCCTTGCAGCGTGGCGACGATGGACAAGATCCTGGAGGGCCTGGTGAGCTCCTCGCACCCGCTGCCCCTCAAGCGGATGATTGTGCGGAAGGTGGTGGAATCCGCGGAGCATTGGCTGGACGAGGCGCAGTGCGAGGCCATGTTTGACCTGACGACCCGCCTCATCCTGGAGGGCCAGGACCCCTTCCAGCGGCAAGTGGGCCACCAGGTGCTGGAGGCCTACGCGCGCTACCACCGGCCAGAGTTCGAGTCCTTCTTCAACAAGACTTTCGTGTTGGGCCTCCTTCAACAGGGCTACCACTCGCTGGACAGGAAGGACGTAGCCATCCTGGACTACATTCACAACGGCCTGAAGCTGATTATGAGCTGCCCGTCGGTGCTGGACCTCTTCAGCCTGCTACAGGTGGAGGTGCTGCGAATGGTTTGTGAGAGGCCGGAGCCGCACCTCTGTGCCCGGCTGAGCGACCTTCTGACCGATTTCGTGCAGTGCGTCCCCAAAGGGAAGTTGTCCATCACCTTCTGTCAACAGCTGGTTCGAACGATAGGTCATTTCCAGTGCGGGTCCTCCCAGGAGAAGGAGCTACGGGAGTATGTCTCCCAGGTAACAAAAGTGAGTAACTTACTACAGAATATATGGAAGGCTGAGCCCTCCACGCTGCTACCGTCTCTACAAGAAGTTTTTGCAAGCATCTCTTCCACAGGTAAGGGTCATTATTTCAGGAGAATGTGTCTTGGAAATTCAGCAGGTGTCTCCCATAAACACACTACGATTTCTACCCTGAAACATTACCTTTTGGGGACTGCTATGTCAGCAAGCATATTTTATTAGGGTAAATCCTCCAGACGAAGGCATTCTTGATGTAGAGTAAATCTAAATACCCTTATCCAAAATTTTATTCGATTTCTCTCTTCAGAGTGGTACGTTGTAGCCGAAATGTTTGAGGATGTCTAAGTACAGAGGCCTTTGTCACTGAACAAGTCCCCTAATTATGCAGCCTCTGCTCCAGTTTTGGGATGCTTACAGGCTGACAGCCGCTGTGAAAAGCTTCTAGTCATTACTGACTAATGGTCATATATGATGTGTACCATATCATTATTACTGTATGTAACCTATCATGTTGAATTTTTTTTTTTTTTTCAGTTTTCACATGTTCTCATTTTTAAAAAAAAACTTGTGAGTGGTGCACGGTCTTTTATAAGATTTTCCCAGTTTACCATGTTTTTTAAGTATCAGCATTTTCGTTCCACAACAGTGTAGTGGCAAGAGATCCAGGAAGCGGGAGGACACGGGAGTATGGCAGCTTAGGTGCTTGTCTGTCAGGAACTGCATCCTCACAAACTAGGAAAAGGTCAAAGGCTCACTTAGAAGACCTCTCACCCAAGACTTTTGTCTGTGTCTGTTCTTGAAGGTGCTTTCGAATCTGTCAGTTGTGAAACAATAGGTTCAAACTGAACTTGTGATGCTGTTCTCATTTTACCTTAACCAGAAATGAGGGTTGAGTTTTAAAACTTTACGTATCAGGTACATTTTCTTCCCCGTTCTGTAGTGTTGCCTGTCGTCTGTCATAGCTGTTAGGTATTCCCTCACAGTCTTTCACTGCAGTGGTGAGGCCAGCCATCCTGAGGCCTTACATTTTATATAAGTAAAGCCATCCCTTTCGTTCTAATTTCCACTCTCACAGTTGTGCAATGACTACTATAACATTTTCGTAATGACTTTAACACCCTGACATGGAAATTAGAATGATATCTGACTGGTCCTCCCCTCCCCCCTCATTACTGCTTTGCAAAGCATTATCTAAATCCAAAAATGTAATGTAAATAATGAAGTATCTTATTGACTAAACTTAATAGTTTTTCTCATGAGTGGTTATTGCTATTTACTCTTAACCTCTCATTTCAATGATTTAACTTTTTATTTAGACTCTACCCATGATGCTACCTTAGTGCAAGTGTGTGTGGGAGTTTTTTCTCCTTTGAACTACTTCAGTTTGAACCTCCGTGCTATATTTGTCTGTCTTTTTAACTAAAAACTAGATGCATCCTTTGAGCCCTCGGTCGCCCTGGCAAGCCTGGTGCAGCATATTCCCCTGCAGATGATCACAGTCCTCATCAGGAGCCTGACCACCGATCCAAATGTCAAAGATGCAAGCATGACCCAGGCGCTCTGCAGGTAGTTTGCTGTTGTTCTTCTGGGTTTTCATAGTGGGAACTTAGAGACATTTCTAAAACTAGAGTCATGAAATTAATTGGTAGTTTCTCCGCATTAATTAGAATGATTTACCTTTTATGGTCTCATCTGGTTTTTTGGTTGGGTTGTTTTTCTAGTCTCTATTCCTTACTGTTTCCTGTAACCTACTTCCGTGTGGGGTGGTGCTTGTCATCATCATTTGGTTCTGGGTTTGGTTTGGTTTCCCCTAGCCAGGTATAAATTGTATTTTCTTTTTCAGACATACTCCATAGGTACCACCTTTGCCCTTGCCTCTTTGGATTGATTTATTTTGTTTGTGTATATGTTTTGTCTTCTCATATGCGATTGTACCACACGCATGCTTGGTGTCAGAGAAGGCCAGCTCCTGCAGCTGGAGTTGTGGATGCTTGTGAGCCATTAAGTGTGTGCTGGGAATCAAGCCTGGATTTTTGCTCTTAACCGCTGAGCTATCTCTCCAGCACCTGCCTTTGCCTCTTTGGAATTTGGTTTCTCTCCCTTATTCTCAACTGGATGAATTTGGCCAGGAACAGAATTATGGTTTTAGAGTTGTGTTTTCTTTTAACATTTTGAAAGCTCATTGTTATTGGGCATCTACTGTTGCTGGGGGGAGCTGCTGGAAAGTCTGATTGTCAGGTGTTTCTCATTGCATGTTTTTCTTTTTATCCTAAGTGATCTTCAGTCTTATTCTCCAGTGTCTAGATATAAACTGATTTGCCTTAGCAGCACTTTTATGCTTATACTCAATCATTCGTTCGAAGTGATTTACTGAGCACTTAACAAGGGTGTCAGGCAACATTTAAAATACCCTCAGCAAACTGATAAAAATAGTTGTCGGAGAGACCAACAGTAATGTAATAGCACTTCACTGACTCCAGCATTTATCCTGATTTGTAAAATGCTAAAACGTGTAGCAGTGGGTGTTCTAGTTAAACAGGCCTGGCATTCTTGCCATACTGCTACATAATTAAATTACGTTTGGTTTTTTTGTTTGTTTGTTTTTGGATTTGAATTTGTTTTAAAACATACAGTAAATCATTTAGTATATTAAATGATAATAAGCATTTATTGAAAAAGGTAGACAAGAAGAGGGATAGTCTATAAATAGGTAGTTAATTTTCAGTAAGATGGCTAAGGAAGGGTTCATTGAGGTCATGACGCTAAAGTGAAAGAGGAAGCAATGCTGTGTGTATTATATTAGGAATATACAGCACAGACAGTATCTCAGTTTTTGATTTCTCAACTTTCTGATGGAAAGCCATGCTTTGACTTTTGAGTTCTGGTTTTCCTGGGCTACCATAAAAAGTATGAAACTTTCTTGAACTTCTGGACACCGTGAGCCACAACACTGAGTCAGTCACACAGGCAGGGTAAGAGCCCAGTGTTGTGCAGTGAACTGTGTTGCTAAGTCAGGGTGTTTGGTAGGCTGTTAAGTTGAGGTTTCTCCTTGTGTTTTCTATTTACAGTAGGTTTCCAGCACTGTTGTAAGTCAGGGAGTACTTGTCCTAAAAACGTGCTCATTTTTCTCAGTGCTTGTCTCACCTACTGAGGGACAGTATTGTTCTCATACTGAACTTGAACTTTCTCTTCTTGCTGAGCTGCTTAATTTTTGTCTCTTCTGTGTTTAGCCTGTTTAAACAGAAGATTACAGTGCCTTCTGTGTCTATATTACAATCGCATGAACTGAAGTATTCTACGGTGTGCAAGAATCTTAGGAAGTGCCATGTGCACTACACAGCTCTACATCACAGACTCAACCCTGGCCGCTTCTTTGTGCTGCTTAGTTAGTGGAGCCAAGTAATCTCTAACTTGTGCTGCCAGTTTCTAGATCACAAATCTAGAAGCAAGTGTAACTCCACTCCATCCTTTCTCTTACTCACTGATTAATATCTAAGTCCTTCGATTTCTGTCTTTACTTCTCAGAATGTCATTTTTCTGTCTTTACCATTTGTGGAAATCAAACCTGTATTGTTACAATAGTCTGCTACTAAAATGTAAATATATTCCAAGAACATAGATAACATTTATGTATGAAACAGGCCAGGAATCAGTGAAATGATGGGGACTGGGCTGGATAAGCAACTTCTGAAAGAGAAAGATGGGCCTTGACTCCAGGTGGCCATTGATACAAAGAAACTTGAATCTGCTCTTTCTTCCTGTCTGTAAAACATTGGGCCAAATAAGACTGAAAGCTAGATGGAATCCTCAGCTGCCTTGTAAAAGTGAAAGTTGGTTTTATATTCCAAAACTTATGATTAACTCTGTTTTGTTGCTTTTCAGAATATTGCCGGGTTTTGTGTTTTGTTGGTTTTAGGTTGGGGCTGTTGTTTGGTCTGTTGGTTTGGTTTTGTTTGTTTGTTTGTTTGTTTGTTTTTGTTTTTGAGACAGGGTTTATCTGTGTAGTCCTGGCTGTTGTGGAACTCACTCGGTGGACCAGGCTGGCTCAGATTCACGAAGATCTACCTGCCTCTGCCTCCCAAGTACTGGGATTAAATCCATGTGCCACCACTGCCCAGCTGCCTGCCTGTTTTAATGTTAGGGTTTTAAAGCTGTATTTCTCTGAGCTGTAAGAATAAATGTCTTACTCATCAACACTTACCAACAACTCTAGTCTAGTCCAAGCTAGAATCCAAAGTGTTTGATGGAAGCAATACAATCACTGGAGGAGAAAAGACTGAAATATATGAAGGACTAACACAGTTAAAATTTTAAAGTACTCTAAAAAATTGCATTATAAAGTCCTGTATCATAGACTGACCTTTAGTTTCTGATCCTCCTCTCTAGTGCTGGGATTTCTAGGCATGTGCCACCATAACTGGTTTATGAAGTGCGGGTCACCAAACCCACAGCTTTGTGCATGCTCAGCCAGCAAGCAAGCACTCTACAGCTCTGTACCTGCCTCCAACATGAATATACTCCTCAGAAATGCACTTGTCTCTTTTCTCAGTCTCTGTATAATGGCTACAAATAAGAGCAGCCCTGCAACACTTAGAAGATAAAGAATAGCTAGTAGAAATTACTTAAATGACTTGTAACCATCACAGTTGTTGTAAGAAGCCAGAAAAAGAAGAAAAGAAAGAATACTTGTCTAGGACATAGAAGGCACCCCAATAACTTAGTGTGCATTGCACTTGGGATCCTCACTTCAGAACATTTAAACTTTTAGAACATTTAAAAGCAGAAACAAACAAACAAAACCTGGCTGTGCAGTACTATAAGCCCAACGCTTGGGAGCCTGAGACAGGAGGATTTTCACAAGTTTAAAGCTAGCCTGGTACCAAAGTGAGACCCATCTTAAAAGCCAAAAGAAGAAGACTGCTAAAGATGATATCCCAGACTTAAGGTAGATGGTTATAAAGTGCCCGTGTCATGGTAGTATTTCTGTTACAAGTTTCTGTGCTCAGAATTTCTTTTGACATTTTATACAGTGTTTATTGCTGGGCTGCTGAGATGGCTCAGGGGAATAAATGTGCTTGTTGCGCCAGTCTGACAGCCTAAGTTCACTCCTCAGAACCCAGGCTTTGGTCTCCTTGTCTGTGTTCAGGCACACACATCGCACATGCACACATGACCGTGTGCGATGTACACGCTCACAGAATAAGAAGAAGTAAGCTGTTTAGAAAGATGCCGTTGCTCCCTGTGTCAATATCATCATCATGAGGTGGCTCTTCCCAGGGCTTTTCATTCATTTGATGTTCAGAGCAGCCCTGTAAGTAAGTGTGTTTATAACCTAGAGATAAAGAGGTTAATAAAGAGAAAAGAAGGTATTTACATTCCCCCAACTAGTAAATTGGGAAGTGAGATTTTTAAATCATTTACTCTTGACGACAGAAATCTGAGAACTTTTCCATTCTCTTTTATTAGTATCTGATTATTGAACTAGATTACTTTGTCAGGGTACATAAGCACGTAGCCTGCCTGTTCTTCACAGACTTGTGCTGATCTTCAGTGTGCTGTATATCAGCTTTAGAAAGAGGCTCCATCAGAACCCAGAGCACTTTGTCTCTTTTCCATAGAACTGGCTTGATATTTAAGAAAGGAGATACTCGGTGATCGAAAATCAGGTCATTGGAATGTTGACACAGTTGCTGTTTTTTATGATTGGAAGTTTTCTTCTGTTGCAGGATTTTGAAAGATTTAGAGACACCTGCTCCAGGGCTCAGAATAGGGTGTTTCACATTACATTGCTTACCAAGAAGCAAAGTCTTGGTTGATAGTCATACATCATAGTTCAGATGTCTGATTTTAACTTGAACAGATTCTTTATCCCTATAGCAAGCATCCATTTGAAATTTGGCATTTATGAGAAATGTTCATTTATCATAGAGTCGTATAGGAATATATTGAATAAAGAAACTGTCAGCTTATAAGACCAGAAATGCTTGAAGATGGGCCACTGTTACACTCATTTTTGTACAGTTACTTTTACTAAGAGCTCAGTAAATACCGAGTCAGGAAGTGAGTGATTACTTATTATAACTTTATGTTGAAAATATTTTTAATCCTGATAGTGGTGTTTTCCTTCACGTTTCAGAATGATTGACTGGCTGTCTTGGCCGTTGGCTCAGCATGTGGATACGTGGGTGATTGCTCTCCTGAAAGGACTGGCAGCTGTCCAGAAGTTTACTATTTTGATAGATGTTACTTTGCTGAAAATAGAACTGGTGAGTAGCGGTGGAGCAGCCCATTGGAGTGCATAGGATGCTGAGTGTGTTCCAGTTTGGGTTTTGTTTCAACTAGGTTTTAGGGGTAGAATCCAGTGCGGCACAAGGATATTCAGCTGAAACTAGTATACAGTTCTCAACCATTGCTATGAAAACACAGTCCACCCGTTAGCTCTTTTGTTGTGTATTTTCAGGTTTGTTGTTTCTTTGTTGCTGATGATGGTGGTTATGATAATGTTTGTTTTTATCTTTTGGTAATAGAGACAGACTCACTGAGAGCCTAGGCCAGCCTCACACTCAAAATCCTTGTGCCTTGGACACAGAGGGAGGAAGGTTACAGGTATTCAGCACTGTGCATTGCTGCCATGAGCCCCTAAATACAAACTGTCGAGCTCCTAGCACTGTGCTCTACCTGACTGCCTTGGGGACTCTGCTTCCAATGTTGCTAAAACCAGGACACAATTGATCACCACACTTTTTGTTTTGGGTTTTGGTTTTCCACAGTGATGGAGATCAAGCCCAGGGTGGTCAAGCCTCAGCCCTGCTCCACATCCTCAGCCACATTGCTCCCTCATTAACATACTTTTGCTACTTAATTCCCAGAACATTATGCTGTCGAGACTCTTGTCTTTTACTGACATGCCAGTCTCTGTCCTAATTTTTCTTTTTTGTGTGTTTGTTTGTTTGTTTGTTTGTTGTGGGGTTTTTTTGGGTTGTTTTGTTTTGTTTTGTTTTTGCTTTTTGGTTTTTTTGTTTTGTTTTATCAAGACAGGGTTTCTCTGTGTAGCCTTTGCTATCCTGGACTGGCTTTGTAGACCACACTGGCCTTGAACTCATAGTTCACCTGCCTCTGCCTCCCTGGGTGCTGGTATTAAGGTGTGCACCACCACACCCAGCCATCTCTGCTCTAATTTTTCTTTGGTCCACTTTCTTCTCAATCCATACTTCCTGCAGCAAGTGTTCTATGCCGTGAAGTGATCATAGATGCTCTATGGCTCTAAAGGTGTCCAACTTAATGGCTAACAAGTTTATGTTTTAGTTTATTGTTTGCCTTTAAGTTCCATATTGATTTTTTTCTTAGTTACTGTCCTGTTGCTGTGAAGAGACACCGTAACTGTGGGTACCTTAAATAGGTATGGTCTTCATAGACTCATGTGTTCAAATGCTTGGCCCATGGGGAGTGGCACTGTTAGGTGTGTGGCCTTATTAGAGGAAGTGTGTCACTATGGGGGCTGGCTTTGCGGTGTCCTATGCTCAAGCTATGTCCAGACATAGTCCCTGCGGGTCAAGGTGTAGAACTCTGGCTCCTCCAGCACCATGTCTGCCTGGATGCTGCCCTGATGATAATAAACTAAATCTCAGAAACTGTCAGCCAGCCCCAATTAAATGTTTCCCTTTACCAAGAGTGTCTCCTGTGGTGTCTCCTCACAGCAAACCCTAAATAAGACAATGACCAAGAAAAGCGCTTATAAAAGAAAGCATTTAATTGGAGCTTACTCAGAATTTCAGAGGGTGAATCCATGATCATCATGGCGGAATTAGACAGGAATGGCTTTATCCATAGTCTGTATGACTACAGAGCAGTAGCTGAGAGCTTTGCATCCTGACCCCTCAGGCAGAAATCAGAGAGACAGACAGACAGACACTGGGCCTGGCATGAACTTTGAAACTTTCAAAGCCCACACCCAGTGACACATCTCCTTATCCTTCTAATCCTCAGTAGTTCCACTTGTAGTTGACTAAACATTCAAATATGTCTATGTGGCCCATTCTTATTCAAACCATCAAACATTTATTCACTTATCTAAACTCAGATCTTTCTCTTTTGCTTTGCTTTTCTCTTTGGGGTGGGGTATCTGCGGGGGTGTTTTGGATTTTGTTTGTTGAGATATTTGTTTTTATAAAAAGATTGATCACCGCAAAAGAAAGCTAAAACATGGCAAAGACACAAGTTCTAAATACCTGAGGAAGTGAGTATCCTATGCTCAAAAATATTAAATTCATATTATGTACAATCTCACTACTGATTTTTACTCCCAAACCTGGTCTTCTCCTTCTTCATAAATAGCTATCCCAAATAGCTTCCGCTCACTTAGGCCCTAGTGTTTGAAGCAACCCTTATCTCTTTTTTAATGTCTCTCAACCTCTGTCCTGAAAATTCTAGCTGCTTTTAAAATATACCTAGAATCCTGCTACCACTGTTATCTTGGTCCTAAGTCATCATCATCATCATCATCTTTTGTTACACTGATGTCAACAGCTTCCTTGCTCCTACCTTTGGTTCCTTATAAATGTTGCACGGGGAACTTCTTTTGCTGTCTTTTGTCAACCCATCTCCAGATAGTCTTGCCATCACCTTTCAGTTCAATGACATTGTCCTTAGTTGTCTAGCACACCAGTCTGGGGGACCTGAGCCTGTGCACTGTCTGCCTATGTGTAAAAGCTCTTGTCCTAACTGTCTGTGGAGCTGATATCCCTTCATTTTACACTCGGATGTTACTTCTGGATCGTTTTTACCACGCGCTATAAAATGACAAGAGTCCTTTGCTACCCAGTGCTTCCTGATCACTGTGTTCACTTTGTGTTTTTAGCATGTATTGCTGTGTATTGCTTTTTTGTTATCTTCTACATGTCTCTAACCATAAGCCTGTGTGGCCTACAGTGCCTGAAACAGTACCAAATAATAGTAGGTGTTCAGTAAATATTGAGTACACTGAATGAATACCTTATTTGCAAAGTAGGACATATTTTCACTTAAGGAGGGAACTTGGGGAATTGTTTAGCTCATTAAGTTCTCTTTGATGTTAGTCCCGTTATTTCCTTTTTCTTCTTTCAGAGTCTAATAATGTGTTATTCTAGAGCTTTCAAGGAAGAAGGGAACAGTGACATAAAGGGCTGTCAGCATGGGAAAGGGTTAGTGCTTTTCCTGTGAGCTCTAAGGATGGTGTCTCATTCTGCAGGTTTTTAATCGACTTTGGTTTCCTCTTGTGAGACCTGGTGCTCTTGCAGTTCTCTCTCACATGCTGCTTAGTTTTCAGCATTCTCCAGAGGCATTCCATTTGGTGAGTATGATATAAGCGCTTGGAAGTAGAAACACTTGTTCTCAAAGTGTAGCTCACAGTATGCGTAATGAAAGACTGTAGGTTAGCTTTGTATTATTTCACGTAATTTTACAAACTTTTTTTTTTTTTTTTTGATGGGGGGAGGTTTCAAGACATGGTTTCTCTGTGTAGCCTTAGCTGTCCTGGACTCAGTTTGTAGACCAGGCTAGTCTCTACAGTCCAGAGATCTGCCTGCCTGTGCCTCCCAGAGTGCTGGGATTGCAGGTATGTGCCACCATACCCGGCTGCTTTATAAACTCATAACATTGAATTTATAAATTATTCCTGGCAAAGAACATATTTTCAGAAAGTTTTGTGCTTCACCAAAACTGCCCCACGTACAACCATTGCCAGCAGCTGGAAGTTGCTGTAGAGGGAGCCATCACTGCAAAAGGCCCTTACGTACAGTGGTGCAGGGTCACCGTGGAAGAGGGCGATAGCACTGGAAAGCACAAAACAGTTTAGCTCTGATACAGGGCTTTTCCCTCTTTCTCAGCCCACTAACTCCATCTTTAATCAGAGTCACAGTGCTACCTACCACCCGAAACCAGTCGCTTGCCAGCGTTGATTTGATTGCAGTTGTCAGTTACTAAAGATGAGGAAGGACAAAATGTTATTTGGACTCTGTCCATTTCAGGAATCATTGTCATCGTTATCTGCATTCTCCAAGGAAGGTCTGCTCATGTTTTACAGGAGTAGAACCTCAGCAGCAGCATCCCCACTACCTTAGGGACAGTAACATACCATGACAAGTCAGAGGAAGCATGAGGAAGGACAGAATTAATTACTCTTGATTGTGCTTCGCTAGCAAAGTACCCTCAACACTGTAGGTCAGTGACATGGGCTGCTCAGTGACTCCTCCTTTCAGGGAAAATCCACAGACTTTGTTTCCAGGAAACCTTGGCAACAGGTCACTTCATTTGATATTTTGGTTGGATGATTTTTGTAGTCATTGCTCTTACTATGGTGAAATTGATAGTGAAGCCGTAGGATTCTTATTTATAAGATGAATCTTGATTTTGAGCAAATTTAATAAGTATACAAACAAAATGCCCAAGAAGAGAAAACATTTCTTCCCGTCTTCTTGCATCATCCTGTTCAAGATATTTGAGAAAAGGCTTCTTCTCAAAAGTTCTAAGAAACATATCACCTTCACACTGACACCATTCCTTAACTTCTGTGGTTAATCACTTAGGCCCTGGTGTAAGTTTATTTCTTTCACAATTTGTTGAAAGAAGAAAAATATTTCCTTACCTTTTGTATTGCTTCTCTCTCTTTCCGGAAAAGGGACTTCAAATAACATGCTTGACTTTGAAATCTTAGCCATTGGATTAAAGTAGTTTTAAATTACCTATTTAAGAAATATCTGGGTTTGAAACTTGAAATTTTTGGTCTGAATTAGTAAATCCTAAAAATCAAGACCTACTACTGTGTAAGTACCCTGCACAGCTGAACTAAAGATAGCTTGGAGGTCCAGCAGTGAAGCATGTGGGGTTAGTTAGCAGTGACTCCAAGTAACTCAGTAGAGGATTTTGTGTAGGGTAGGTAAGTGTGAGCAGTAGCCTGGATGAACATCGTTAGCATTCTACTTTGTGTTTAGAATCTGAGAGTGAACCAGGAAGTTCTGGTATGTGTTCTGAGAGGCCAAGCTGCTTTTCATATACTTTTTATTAAAAGAAAACTTCATTTTAAACAGATCAGTTTAAATAGTTAAAATGGGGGAAAAAAGCAAAGTTAGTAATTAAATAAGTTATATGTATTTCCTTAAGTAGCAATTATATTTAATGAATAATACAGTAAATTCTAGAGACATGCAATTTCACACATTTAAAAAAATTAATTTGGGGGGTAGAGAGATATCGCAATGGTTAAGAGCAGTTGTTGAACAACCCAGTTTCATTTCCAGCACATATACCATGGCTCACAACCATCTGTAACTAGAGTGCCCAGGGCTCGGACACATTCTTCTGAGCTCCCTGCATATGCACATATGTGTGCTCATGGACATAAAATAATTACTTTTTTAAGTCTAACTTGGAAGCGTTTAGAAGGCATCACTTGAAACTACGGAATTCACTTTTAGAATCCTCTTTCATCTGTTTCCCTTCACTTCTGAGAAAACTAACTAATTTTGGGTTTCAGACTAATTTAACAAGAAAGTGACAGACTTCAGCTTTATAAAATTATCACTGAGATGTGTTTAGAAATGTAGAGGTGAGAGCTAGGGATATTCTCAGTGGTAGAGCAGTCATCTAAGACACAGGAGTAGCCTCAGGGTGAGGGAGGAAGGAGGGAGATAGAGCAGACATGGTAGTAAAAGAACATTCTCATTAAAAACTGGTAGCAGCCATGTCCAAGCTGCATGCAGCCACACGTAACTGAGGAAAGCTGTGACCAGAGCCCAACACAAAATCATAAACCTACAAAGAAAAGGGATTTGTAGGATCAGTGGTTGGTGAATCCAAGGGAAGTATGAGAGAGCAGAGAGGCTTGCAGTTAAGAGCGTTGCTGTTCTTCATTGGACCTGGGCTTAATTCCCAGCATACACGTAGTATTCACAAGTGACTGTAACTCCAGTTCCAGGGAATCTGATGCCCTCTTCTGGTTTCTGTTGGCAACAGACCAGGGACACATGTGGTACATGGGCATACATGCAGGGAAAACACTCAAGCGAATAAAATTAAAATTCAAAAAGAAAGAGGATGGGGAATGAAAATAATTAAAATGTTTACTGTGTGTGTATGAATTGTCCAAGAACATATTTAATGGATGAAAATTAAAAATTTAAATCAAATTTAAAACATTGTGAGCTTTCTTTGCCTCCTCCCCAAACCCCCAATTCTGGAACACAAACCTAGTAGATAACTGTGATACTGCATACACCTGCTAGAATAGGACCACATTAGTAACTGTAATAGAATTGAGGGTAGAGAAAGTGAAACCTACAGTCTGACTCAGCGCATTTGACACAGAATAAATCCAGACAGTGCAGGACAGAAATCACCGCTGACTGAAGAATCTGACCGCTGACTGGAGGCAGCAGGTACGAGAAAGGGAGTGGATTGGACCAGCTGTTCTTAGTACTGTGATGAGACAACCCTGACAAAGCTGTGACTGCACACTGTCATGATGTGGAGATGGAAAGGTGTTTTGCATACAGGACCTGAGACACCTTTAGTTTCAAAAATATACGTAGAAAGTTATCAGATTATGACTGACAATTAGTTGATAAATAATCTATCTTGATAGCAGCCATTTCTGTTAAATAGAATGTTTCATTTTGGTTATATCTTAAGTCTTTGATAATATGAAAGTTGACTTTTACACTATTTTTAAATGAATGAGCATTAATGTATTGTTTACCGATATTAAATGTTTTCAAGATATTTATCAGTAGTGAGCATTTACATTTTTCAATTTACTTTTATTTTTAGTTTCTTAAAAATAGATGTTGCCAGGTAGTGATGGCACACACCTTTAATCCCAGCAGGAGGCAGAGGCAGGCAGGTCTCACTGAGTTCAAGGCCAGCCTGGTCTGTTACCTGAGCATAATTTTAGTTACATATTTAAGTTATTTCAGAGACTTTCTTGAAGTACACATTGTTGTGCAAGGTGTGTATAATTTTTTCAATTAAAAATTTAAAATTTTAGTTGGATGTAGTGGTGTATATGCACTTGCTTGTAATCCCAGCACTCAGGGAGATAGAGGCTGGCAGATTGCTGTAAGTTCAAGGCCAGCCTGGTCTACAAAGGGAGTCTAGAACAGTCAAGGATATACAAAGAAAACCCTGTCTTGAAAAAGAAAAAAGAAAGAAAAAGAAAATTTTAAACTCACAACTAGACGGAGGTATTTCCCTAATTCCAATTTGGGGTTTTCATTGTGTTTTTGTGGGAGTTTTAACATGGTTCTGTTAAACAGTCTGGTTGGCTTGTGGATGCATCTCACTGGCAGGGCACTTGCCTGGCATCCACACAGGTAAGGCTTAAGCCGAGTACTCAAAACAGTTTTCCAAAAACAAATGGTCTGTTCCCTAGACCAACTATTGCATTTTTCAAGTGAAAGTTTTTTAAATGCTACAGTGACTGAAACGCCTATATTACATTTATTTTCTATTTTAGGTGGATTGTGTTCATAGCATGGCATACATACAGAGGTCCTAAGGATCAAAGTCATGTCCCTCAGGCTTGGTAGCAAGTACCCTTGCCCACAGAGGCATCTCACTGGCACTGTTTAAGAAATTATTTTTTATTTTTGGGTTTGTGTGTATGCACGTGTGTGCGCACACTGTGGCGTATGTGTGGAAGTCAGAGAGTAATTTGACAGTGAGTTCCACTGTGTAGGTTCCAGCAGTTGAACTGAGGTGACAAACGCTTTTTACTGCTGAGCTGAAGGAGAAGCCTACTAAATGCAATTACAAGAGCTGGAGAGATGGCTCAGGAGTTGAGTCTTTCAAGAGGACTGGAGTTCAGTTCCTGCACCTACATTGTGTGGCTCACAGCTCTAGAGGAATTCTACACCCTCGTCTGTCCTCTGTGGGCACACTCACACACTCAGACACATACAAAAAAAAATAAATTTTTAATGCAATTACAGTTATGTGACTTCAAAAATTAGGTTTACCTTGCTGATTGAACAGTGAGTGACTTTTGAAGAAAAAGCATGGCTTAAGTATGCGGAAAGTATGTGCTTATCATGTAAGAGTTGCATTTTTTCTGTCGGCTGGGGATATGCTGTCAACGTGTGCTTGTCTCTGTTTTCTCTTCAGATTGTCCCTCATATAGTTAACTTGGTTCACTCTTTCAAAAGTGACGGCCTGCCTTCCAGCACAGCCTTTTTAGTGCAGCTAACAGAGCTGGTCCACTGTATGATGTACCACTACTCCGGGTTCCCAGATCTCTATGAGCCGGTTCTGGAGGCAGTAAAGGTATGAGCGCACACGGTGTAATGCACAGTCTGGTAAACTGTGTTGTTGCAGTGATGAGCAGTCTTTACCGTGGTGTGTTCGTTGATGCCAGGGCATCACCTCTTATTTGCTCTCACCCTTCAGAGTCGCTAGCCACAGTTCTTAGTCTGTAGTGCCATCAATAAAAGGTGTCACCGTGAACGTATAAGAGCTGTGAAAGAAATTGCCTACTGACAATATGCTACATTAAATGTGTACAGACATCAGTTTTGCATCTCGTATCAAACCATCTTGGGATCAAGGAAATAGCTGACTATGGTTCCTTCTATTTTGATTTTGTTTTGTGTTGTAGACTTTATAAATGTCTATATTTCTTTAGAATTATTTAAATTATTTGTAACCTTGTTTTTCAGGTTCATAATAGGCAAGTTCTAAAAAGTATTAATTCTATTTGTGTTGAAGAATGGAAGACTGCAAAATCAGAGTATACCCAAAGTATTGGCTAACTTAATTTAGCCAGGCTTAATCAGAAGTTACTAGATATCAATTCTAATTATGATATTAATTTTGGAAATAACAATATACAGACCTCATTGCCTTACTACTCTATGTGGAAGGTAAATGAAGAGCGTGTTGTTTCCGAATCTATTCAACAAACTCAGCCTAAGGACTAGGTCTAGAACCTCAGGCTGTTAGCCTGTGTGGTGCTAATAGAACCCTCCCTTTCAGAAGTAAATTGTGCACAGAAGCATTTGCCATGGACATGAGAGCTTGTTACTGTCATCACTCGTTGATGCCATGTCAATATTGACCATATTCTTCAGCTTTCCAGCACTCAGAAGCAAAGAGCTTACTCTTACCCCAAGGAAAGTATTTGCAACTAGCTGTCAGGAGCAAAAACAAAACAAGAGAAACATGGTTTAAAATGCCATTTCAAAGTGTTAGTTTTCTCTGGGGTAAACATTAAGATAGTACCTTGGTGTCTGAGTTAGGTTTTCTGTTGCTGTGAAGAGATACCATGACCATGGCAACTCTTATAATGAAAACATTTCATTGGGGCTGGCTTACAGTCCAGAGGTTTAGTCCATTATCTTCATGGCAAGAAGTATGGCAGCGTGCAGGCACAGATGGTGCTGGAGAAGGAGCTGGGAGTTCTACATCTGAATTGGCAGGCAACAGAGAGAGAACTGGCTTGAACATCTGAGACTTCCAAGCCTGCCCCCAGTGATGCTCCTCCTACAACAAAGCCACGCTTACTTCAACAAGCCCATGCCTCCCAAAGGCCTAGGGGGCCATTTTCTTTCAGAGTACTACACTTGGTCTAGAAAAGCTAATCGTTTATGCATAAATAACTTTTCTAGGATTCCTTATTGCTCATTGCTCTGCTCTGACATGAAGTCGTTTACACTTAAATTTTGATTTCATTATTTGCTGCTTTAATAAGAAAGAGGACTCTGTGTAGTAGTAATTTTCTAGACAGCAAACCGTGAGATTGAGTTTTACTTTTCACAGTAAGGTCAGTATGCTAAACTCGCTTTTAATCCCTGCTGCAGTAGGCCACCATCTCTAAGGGCTGGTACTGCATGAACCAGGGTCGCCATCTTGGAACTTGACTACAAGTAGTTCACGTGCAGTTTGAATTTCTTATTCTGTTGACTTTTAAAGTATTTTAAGGCAAGCATGGTATCTCATGCCTGTGATTTCAGCACTTGGGATGCTGAGGCAGGAGGATTACTGAGTTCAAGGTGATCTTGGGCTACAGATTGAGATTCTGTCTCAAAAAAATAAATAAGTAAATCCTCTTAAGATTCTAGGAGGCATTTGTTTCCCTTGTCTGTTACTTTTCTTGATGTTCTGATGGAGTTAGTGACAAGAAGTCACGAACAGGAGGAAGGATTCTCTTGCCTCACAGTCTGAGGGTCCACTCCATCACTGTAGGGAAGTGAGAACGAGAGCAGCAATCTGCTGGCTATAATGCAAGAGCTGTCCACACCTGAGCAGAACAGGAGACAGCGAAAGGTGAATACCAGCACTCAGCTGCCCTTTTCACTTTCCTTTTCTGTTAGTTTAGTCCTTGGCCCCAGCCTGTGGGATGTCACAGCTCATATACAGGGTGAGTCTACTCCTCAGTCAGTCCTCTCTAGAGACTCCTCACATACATACACAAAAGTGCACTTAATTAATGCCTCCTTGTTTTCGATTCAGTAAAGTTGACAATTGAGAGTAACCATCACCCTGTAGTATAATATAATCTTTTTAAAGGGCTGACTAAATGCTGGCTGTAATATACAAATGAGTAACAGCAAAGAAAGCTTAAATGTCAATGGGGAAGATCCTCGTTGTGTTGTTAGCTTGTTTAAAACATTTTTTTTTTTTAATTTCCTTTTAAAATACTTTTTTCTTTATGACCTAGGATTTTCCTAAGCCCAGTGAAGAGAAGATTAAGTTGATTCTCAATCAAAGTGCCTGGACTTCTCAATCCAATGCTTTGGCATCTTGCTTGTCTAGACTCTCTGGAAAATCTGAAACTGGGAAAACGGGTCTTATTAACCTGGGAAACACATGCTACATGAACAGTGTTTTACAAGCATTGTTTATGGCTACAGAGTAAGTTTCAGTGTGAACTTTGTGGTTTTAACTGGAAATGAGTGCATGCTGAGGAGACAGGAGAAAGTGAGAATCGCCCCTCCTTCCATGTAAGCAGCATAAATGCTAACATTGCCAGTGAGTTGCCTCAGTCTGATGTGAAACTTCCCCTAACACTTAGGAATGATTGAAATACCAACAGGAACAGGCTGCCCAGTTAGACTGCACATTGTTATTCGCAATGGCACTTTTTAATCCCAGTGACTTTATAGCTTTGTAATGGAACCAAGGGATTAACTGAGCTGACTCCAAAGAGTGAACGTGCCCTGTGGTACTTCTGCTTCTTAACCTGTTTCTTTGCTTCTACTGTCCCACTGTATTTTGTAATTCATATTATCCTTTGAAGAGTCACTTATAGTCTTCTCTGGCTATACATATTTGCTGTTGATCCATATCAGCAGCTGCTTCTTTGCTTTTAGCTTTGCTCTCATCCCAAGGTGTTGATTCCTGAACAGATGTGAAAACAGGCATGCTTCTTTCCATTCCCATGAACTTACTTTCAAATCCATTTTCTTTTGAAAGCAACAAAGCTGGAGTCAGCTGCTCATTAGCTAGCTGAGTGGCATCCTTGTGCTGGAGGCTCAGCTGCTCGGAGCACCTGCCTGGAGTGCAGGAGGCCCTGTGTGATCCCTGGCACCTCACAAAGTGAGGCGTGCTCTTGCACATCTGCAAGCCCAGCACTTGTGATGGAAGCAGGAGGAGCAAGAGGTCATGGTGTGTTCAAAGCTAGCCTGGACTACAACAGGCTTTTTCTCAAATATGTATATTTGAAGATACAAAACAATAGTCAGCTTTTCCTTTTAAAAAAAAAAAAAAAAAAAAAAAAAGAAGAAGAAGAAGAAAGAGAAAGGAAAGAAAAAGAATTTTTCTCTTATTGCCAATAAAATTGAGCTGGCCCAAAGATGGGAGCTGTTGCTGTTCACACTTCCTGGAAGGATAGACTGTTAGATGTGGACTTAGCTTTAGGGTTTTGTTGTTTGTCCCAGATTATAAGAACCTGGGTGTTTGGGGTTCTGTTGAGCTTTGTTGTTGGTTGTTTGTATTTGACAACTTTTGCTGTTTTAAAGTAAAGGAGTACTCTTAGACACAAGCAGTATTAGAGGTACGGCTGAAGAGTCCATATCTCACCACCAGAGGTCGCCTTTCCAGCCATGTCATGAAGCAACTGGAACTGGAAAGAGTTGTGGTGGCCCATAATGGTAACTCAGAACAGGAAGGTCTCTTAAGGAACACATTAATTATTTTTTATGGTTTAAAAAAAAAAAAAAAATCTATAAAAACCCAAAATGCATACATTCTCAAAAATGTCAGCCATGTGCATTATTTCAGCTCTTTTAACAGTTGCATGTAGTTAATGTATGTGTACACACACATCTGGAAGAAGTCCTGTTGAAAGTTTTCCTATCAGTCATTTGCTTTAGCACTTAATCACTTGCCCGTGTGAGAGCAGTATGGATCTGTTACTCTGAGTGAGTAGGACATGGTTTTCATCTTTTCTCTTTAAAGTTAGTGTTGGGTTAGGACATACATGTCATGACACCAGTGAAGAAGACTCTGTGGAGTCAGTTCTCTCCTTACCTCTCCATGGGTTCCAGTCCTAGAACTGAGGTCATCAGGTGTGTGTGGCAAGTACCTCTCCCACTGAGCCATCTTCCGGCCTCTCATCGGCCTTCCCTATACTTTTGGTGAGCAGCATATTGTACTGCTCATAGTTAACATTTCTGTAACCATGTTCAGATAAGACATCCTTTGACTAGAATACTCCAGGTCATTTTCCCTTAAACACTATGGAGGCGTGTGGAGGGCTGAGTCTACAGGATGATACCAGGATAATTGTCCTCAGTCAAACCTTCACCTGACGGCCTCTCATGGAACCTGAAGCGCCCCACTTTAGCGAGACTGACTGGCCAGAGACTGAGCTCCCAGAATCTACTTGTTGTGCCCCACAGTGTTGGGTTGACAAAGGAGAGGCACCTTGCCCAGCTTTCATGGAGACATGAACTTAAGTCCTCACCTTACACACTGGCTATCTCCCCAGCCCAGACTGACCTTATGTAAGATTGTACCTGTGTCCCTGCCCCTCTGACGGCACTTGATTTAACCAGTCTTAAATTTTTCATAACTTGGCAAATGTTTTTCTTGTTTTCTTATTTTAAAAAAGATAGGGTCTTGCCCAGACTGGCCTTGAACTCATGACCTCCTGCCACAGCCACCTGAGTATTGGGGTGTACAGATGCATGCCCTGCACACAGCCATTGTGTTTTTATGTGAACATTGCTGATCATTGTAGAATTTTTCCCTCTTTACTCAGCAAAATGAAATGAATGAGCTAGTATTTTCTTTGTATGTCTTTCTGTTGACTTTTTGTTTGGTTTTCATGTCAGTTTATATAAACTTAGTATAATCTTATAGTACTTTCTTCCAGTCATGTGATTTAAATTTATAGTGTTTTATTTATATATTTTTGTTTTATGCAGTCACATCTTCAATTTTTGTATTGTCTAGACTTTAGACCCCCAAAAAATCCTTTTCACTTTTTTTAATTTTTATTTTATTTTTATTAATTATACTATATTCACTTTGTATCCCAGCTGTAGCCCCCTCCTTCATCCCCTCCCAATCCTACCATCCCTCCCTCTTTTTCTCCAATGCCCCTCCCCCAGTCCAATGATAGGGGAGGTTCTCCTCCCTTTCCATCTGACCCCAGCCTATCAGGACTCATCAGAACTGGCAGCATTGTCTTCCTCTGTTGCCTGGTAAGGCTGCTTCACCTTCAGGTAGAGGTGATCAAAGAGCCAGCCCATGAGTTCATATCAGAGACAGTCCCTGTTCATATTATTGGGAAACCCTCTTTGACACTGAGCTGCCATGGGCTACATCTGTTCAGGGGTTCTAAGTTATCTCCATGCATGGTCCTTGGTTGAAGTATCTGTCTTAGAAAAGACCCCTGTGCCCAGATTTTTTGGATCTGTTGCTCTCCTTATGGAGCTCCTGTTCCCTCCCACTTTCTGTCTCCCCCTTTCCTAATAGTCACTGCATTCTGCCCAGAGTTTGGCTATAAATCTCAGCATACATTTTGATACCCTCCTAGGTAGTCTTTCAGAGGCCCTCTGTGGTAGGCTCCTGTCCTGTTCCATTTTCTCTCTCTCCTGATACCCATCTTGTTTGCCTTTCTGAATGAAGATTGAGCATCTTACCCAGGGTCCTCCTTCTTGATTAGCTTCCTTAGGTGTAGAGATTTTAGTATGATTATCCTATATTATATGTCTGATATCCACTTAAAAGTGAGTATATACCGTGTGTGTCTTTCTGCCTCTGGTTTACCTCACTCAGGATGATCTTTTCTAGATCCCACCATTTGCCTGATTTCCTTTTTTTTAATTGCTGAGTAGTATTCCATTGTGTAAATGTACCACAATTTCTGTATCCATTCCTCAACTGAGGAACATCTGGGTTGTTTCCAGCTTCTGGCTATTACAAATAAAGCTGCTACAAACTTAGTTGAGCAAATGTCCTTGTTGTATACTTGAACATCTTTTGGATACATGCCTAGGAGTGGTATAGCTGAATCTTGAGGTAGCACTATTCCTAATTGTCTGAGAAGGTGCCAGATTGATTTCCAAAGTGGTTGTACAAGTTTATATTCCCATCAGCAATGGAGTAGGGTTCCTCTTTCTCCACATCATCTCCAGCATGTGTTGTGACCTGATTTTTTTTTTTTTTTATCTTAGCTATTCTGTTAGGTGTAAGGTGAAATCTCAGGGTCATTTTGATTTGCATTTCCCTGATGAATAAGGACTTTGATCATTTCTTTAAGTCTTTCTCTGCCATTTGATATTCCTCTATTGAGAATTCTGTTTAGCTCTGTACCCCATTTTTTAATTGGATTACTTGATTTGTTGCTGTTTAACTTCTTTAGTTCTTTATATATTCTGGATATTAGCGCTCTGTCAGATACAGGGTTGGTAAAGATCCTTTCCCAATCTGTGGGCTATCGTTTTGTTCTGACGACAGTGTCTTTTGCTTTACAAGAGCTTTTCAGTTTCATGAGCTCCCTTATATTGATTGTTGATCTTAGAGCCTGTGCTTTTGGTGTTCTGTTCAGGAAGTTGACTCCTTTTTTTTGTTTGTTTGGTTTTTTTCAGATGTTTAACCAATTTATCCTATACTGGTTTGGGGGATAGTTTGTATGGTTTGTTTTTGTTTTTATACTCTTGTTTTGTTTGTTTGAATAGACTCTCTCCCTCTCTCCTCCGTCCAGTGTTGTCCTGGTACTCACTCTGTAACCTAGACTGGCCCCAAACTTAAATTTCCCCTCTGTCTCCTAAGAGCTGGATTACTGGTATATGCCACCAGACCTGGCTTGTAGTACACTCCTTTTATTTTTAAGACTTTCACTTTTGAGAGAGAGAGAAAAGAATTCAGGTACCTATGGAGGCTGTAAGATCCCCTAGAGCTGGAGTTATAGGTGGCTGTGAGTTGCTAACATGGGTGCTAGGGGCCAGACTCTGGTCCTCTGCAGGAGTGATAGCATCTCTAGCGACTGAGCCTTTTCTCTGTCCCCCATATGACTTCTTATATATTTTATCTATTTTGATGTTTTGCCTGCATGTCCGTCTATGCACCACTTTAATGCCTGGTGCCATGGAGGCCACAAGAGGGCGTCCGAGGTCCTGAAACTAGAGTTACAGATGACTGTTAATGAGTTCAACCCAGGTCCTCTGGAAGAGCAGCCAGTGCTCTTAACTGCTGAGCCACCTCTCTAGCTGTACTCCTGTTCTTTTTAAATTACCCTGACTTTATGATATACTTTGATGGAAGCATATTTCTTACTTGGTGATTATTTTGAAATAATTTCAAAGTTAATTTTTTGTAAGTTAATACTTTAGGCAATTTACGAAGTGTGACAGCATGTAGACCAGATCATGTAGCGGGAGCCCGTCCGTTTATTGCCACCCTGCCTCCTCCGTGACAGAGGTGTGCTGGTGACCTTGTTACGTAAAGAGAAAGTGCATGTGTGTGTAAGTAACATTATATTTTGTTCTTTTTCAGTTTCAGAAGACAAGTATTATCTTTAAATCTAAATGGCTGTAATTCATTAATGAAAAAATTACAGCATCTTTTTGCTTTTTTGGCTCATACACAAGTGAGTATGCGTGCAATATGTCCATATAAGCTGCATGGTCTTTAAACTACACATTATCTTAATGAGGTTTTTTTTTTGGGGGGGGGGGGTGTTTTGGTGGGTGGGTGGGTTGGTTGGTTGGTTGGTTTTTCAGACAGGGTTTCTCTGTGTAGCCCTGCCTGGAACTCAGAGAGATCCTCCTGCCTCTGCCTCCTGAGTGCTGGGATTAAAGATGTGCTCCACCCCACCTGGTTTTTCTCTATTTCCCTTTAGGTACCTTTTCATTGTAATTGCAAGTCTTTATTCATCTCTTAAGCTCTTAAACTTGAAACTTTGTGGTGATCTTTCATATCCACAAATTAATTCAGGGACGTCACTTGAGGCAGTGGCTGAAGGTCTTGTAGTAGAGAGGTTCTGCCTGTAGTCTGTGGTGAGATCTAACGGGGACCCTGCTTCCAAGGAACTTCTAGCTAAGGCTTGGACATAAATAGAATTTATGTATGTCACTCATGTAGCACATAAATCTTTATTTTTCTGGTTCACTGTGATTGCCATTGTCTCACAGTATGACCTGTTGTTAGGACTAGAATAAATTTCTTTTGTTCTTTTTCTTGTTTGTGTTTTGGTTTTTATTTAGTTTTTCCAAGCAGGGCTTCTCTGTGTAGACCTGGCTGTCCTTGACTCACTTTGTAGATCAGGCTGGCCTACAGAGATCCACCTGCCCCCGCCTTTCAGAGTGCTGGGGTTACGAGCATGTGTGCCACTGTGCCCAGCTAGAATAAATTTCTTGAATGGAAAGATAAAGGTAAGGGTGATACAGCATTAGAATCGGGAGTGTACTCAGAAATATTATTCTCCTGGAAGAGATATGGTAACAAATTAACATTTTCAGTACCCGAGGAAATGAAAACTGCCTCTTAGCCAGGTGTGGTGGCACATTTCTGTGATCCCAGTATTCAGGAGGTGGAGACGAGGATCAGACAAAAGTCTTAGGCCAGTCATGACTACAAAAGCAGTATTAGACCGTAATCAAAACAAACAAACAAAAAAACCTCTCTCTCTCCTCACATATTGTTTTCCAGTAATTTACTAATGAATTGTCTGTATTTACTTTCTACATAAACATGTATGTGCATCTGGGCAGGTGTGTATACTTCATTTATGTACTAAATCAGAACGATTAGGAAAGAAAACCTTAGGAACTTTCCTCACTTTCAAGAAAGATGATTTTGCTGGGCATGGTAATACACGTCATTAATCCCATCACTCAAGAGGCAGGTGGATCTCTGAATTCAGGACCAGCTTGGTTTATACAGTGAGTTCCAGGACAGGCTATGTAGTGGGACCCTGCATCAAAAAAGTGGGGAGGGTTAGCAAGAAAGCCTAGCTGAGGTTCTGTCACTGTAGAGACCTTGTCAGATAGCACAACAATACGGTTACTTTACATAAGCAGATGTCTCCACATAGGTGAAAGACTTTTTCTCTTACTAGGAAAGCTGATGCTTAGCAAGCATTAACATTTTTCTAGCCCTTATGCAGTCTTTTTTTTTTTCTTCATCCTCAAAAGCAAAGTCTACTGACAGAAATGTCTCCAGTTGGCTGAGAAAAAAAAAAAAAGCTTATTCTGATTTTGGCACTAGGACGCTGACCCTTTCTTCAGAGTGCTATAGAATAAGTCCTAACACATGTAAAATTTTCCTTAATTGTTTCTTTATGCCACAAATATTTAAAATATTGTGAGAATCCAGATTTTCAGGTCATTATCAGGTCTTTTTATATCTGTGCAGTACCATGTGAAAATGCCTAGGATTTGAGCCTGGGTGACCCTAGAGTCCATTATCAACTACCATTGCACTTCTGAAGGAAGACAGGGGAAAAGAAAAAGAGGCGGGGAAGAAAGGAAAGGAAGCAAGCAGAGAGAAATGGAGAGTAAGAGATTATCCAGGTCTTAACAAGCATGCTCTTTCCATACATGGATGACTTATGCCAGACAGAAATTTCCAGCAAAATAGATATGTATGGCTTCTATTGCTCTTTTGCACAACACACACACACATACACCCCATTCTCGTTTGTTAACATCCTTCTCACACTGAGTTTTTCGAAAACCTTAGGGACTCAAATACGTGAGTGTCATAGAGGGATATATCAGGGATGGTATGTCAAGAGTAGAGGCATCTGAGACCTGTTGTAGTCACCCCCGCTGCCCGCTTGGCTGTTTGATATGAGCCGGTCCCATGGCTTTTCTGCATGTCAGTTCTATGCAGAATTCATTTGTGACTGGAGCTTGCTTAGTGTGAAAGTTTCCTCTGCCTCTGGCACACCTTGGTAGAAATGGAGTGTGGGATAATTTTAAGTAATCTTTATGAGTCAGTTACTGATTTGTACCATAAGAGTCACTTTCTTGCATTTTCCAGAGGGAAGCGTACGCACCTCGGATATTTTTTGAGGCTTCCAGACCACCATGGTTTACTCCCAGGTCACAACAAGACTGCTCTGAGTACCTCAGGTTTCTGCTGGACAGGTACAAAGTATTTTAAACTTCATTTGAACTGTGTCATCTCTTAGTACATCTGTTCCCCTTAATACTGATTTTTAAAGCACATTTTCAGAGTTGATCTTTAAAACACCCTAATATGAACAGTGGACACCCTGTGTTACTTGTTCTTGTTTGGTTTTTGTTTTGGACGCTTTCACTTTAGAGTACTTGTGATCAAAATATAGTAACAGGGTTCCTAAGGGGCTACCAAAACCTCAAGTCCCCTTTTAACTACATATCTGTGGGAGCTCAGGTTTTCTTCTCATATTTCATCTTTAAAAAGGAGATATGAATAAGGAAGGATGCGGTACAGATACTAGTATCCAGTTGTCTTCTATGAAGCCAGATGCTTAGCATACTCAAAAAATGTAAAGCAATGCCACTCATTTAAAAATACTGTAGATTAATTTTTGATGAATTCATTTTAAATATATTTTATTCTGTTTTTAATATAGTAAATATCAATTATATATACATATATACCTACTTTTCTATTGCTTGGTAAAATACCAACATAGAGGTAAAATCAACACAAAGGAGAAGAATGTATTTTGGCTCAAGTTTGAGAGAGCCTGTAGTCTATCGTGGAAGAGAATTCAGGGCAGCAGGAGTTTAGGACCAGCCTGGCAGCTGGAAGCAGAGGGAGAACGGAAAGTGGGGCCAGGCTACAAAATCTTAGCGCCTGTCCTCAGCAGTGTGCTTCAGCAAGGCAACACCTCCTAAACATTCCATGACCTTCCAGAACAGTGCCACCAAGTAGAGATGCTGGTTCGGTACGGTTTGTTTTGCTTTTGTTTTGTTTTTTTTTTTTTTTTTTTTTTTTTAATGAATATTAAGGTTCCCTAAGACCAAAATCATAAGAACCAATTTGTAATTATAAGGGCATGGTATGTTGTAGTGTCTTTTTACCACTTAATTAATAATAAAACCTCTTATGTCTGTATATTTCTCTGTCTCTTCCTTTCTGTGGTATGAATAACTAGGAAAGTTAAGTCAGCCTGCACATCCTTCCTTTTTTCAGTGTGGTCATCAGTTTCTTGGTGCTAGGCTACTGCGGTGTCAAGCACATAAGGTGTGTGTGAGACGGTACAGCAGTGTGACGTGCTGTAAACAGCAGTGCAGAGAACATGAGATGGGTGTGTAGAGTGGGCAGAGTCTTCTAAGGCTTTCCTAGACTACACTAAACTTGGCTATGTGATGATGCACATTCTTGCAGACTCCATGAAGAAGAAAAGATCTTGCGCGTTGAGTCCTCACACAAGCCTTCTGAAGGTCTGGGCTATGTTGAAACCTCTTCACAAGAAGTAGCCAGTAACGTTGCTGTGCCAACAGAGTCTCCCGGCACAGGGGCCGGTGAGAAAACGCTAATAGAGAAAATGTTCGGGGGGAAGCTACGGACTCACATCTGCTGCCTGAACTGCAGGAGTACCTCACAGAAAGTGGAAGCCTTCACAGATCTTTCACTAGCCTTTTGTCCTACCCCTTCTGTGGAAGACTTGTCTTTCCAAGATCCAGCTTCGTTACCCGGTGCACAAGATGATGATGTTCTAATGCAAACCAGTGTCACTGACCCAGAAGAAGAGCCAGTAGTTTATAATCCAGCAACAGCTGCCTTTGTCTGTGACTCAGTTGTGAATCAAAGATTATTAGGCAGTCCTCCTGTTGAGTTTCACTGTGCAGAAAATACTTCTGTCCCTAATGAATCTGCAAAGATTCTCGTCAGTAAAGATGTACCTCAGAATCCAGGAGGTGAAACCACACCTTCAGTAACTGACTTACTAAACTATTTTTTGGCTCCAGAGATTCTTACTGGTGACAACCAGTATTATTGTGAAAACTGTGCCTCTCTACAGAATGCTGAGAAAACTATGCAAATCACAGAGGAACCTGAGTACCTTATCCTTACGCTCCTGAGATTCTCATATGATCAGAAGTACCATGTGAGAAGAAAAATTTTAGACAATGTGTCACTGCCACTGGTTTTGGAGTTGCCTGTTAAAAGAACTGCTTCCTTCTCCTCCTTGTCGGAAAGCTGGTCTGTAGAGGCTGACTTCAATGATATTAATGAGAACCTAGCTAAGAAGTTAAAACCTGGCACTGAAGATGCCTTCTGCCCTAAGGTAGTGCCCTACCTGCTAAGTTCGGTTGTTGTGCACTCTGGTGTGTCCTCGGAGAGTGGCCATTACTATTCTTATGCCAGAAACATAACAGGTTCAGGGTCCTCACACCAGATGTGCCCCCAGTCTGAAAGTCTGGCATTAACACCATCCCAGAGTTGTTTACGAGGCGGAGAAAGCCCCAGTACAGTCATTGAGCAGGACTTGGAAAATAAGGAAACGTCACAAGAGTGGTTTTTGTTTAATGACAGCAGGGTGACATTTACTTCATTTCAGTCAGTCCAGAAAATCACAAGTAGGTTTCCAAAAGACACAGCTTACGTGCTTTTGTACAAAAAACAGAGCCGTGCTAATGGCTTACGCAGTGACAATCCAGCCAGTGGCGTCTGGGTCAATGGAGATCCACCACTGCAGAAAGAGTTAATGGATGCCATAACAAAGGACAACAAACTGTATTTACAGGTGAGTTGCAAGCACAAGGGTCATTCCTGAACAATATTAAATACTACAAAGTTAATCTGGTAATTTCACACTTGGCACGTTTTCCAGGGTACTGAAGCTTAAATCTGGATGTGTATATTTCAACCGGTAAAGTGTGAAAAGTACCAGTTATCTGCAATTTAGGAGACATTATTTTTAATTACAAAACTGCCTCAGTTATTTGTAGCGGCAAAAGATGATCCTTTCTAATTAAAATGATATCAAATCATGCCATACAGAGAGAGAAAGTGTAATGGAATATGAGTGCACAGCTCCCCTGCCCGGCTATGCCACCTGCAGAGAAGACAGCTGCTATTTTTTTTTTTTTCTGTTTTTATTTATTGTGAGGAGCAGTGCACACATGGAGGTCAAGGACAACTTTGTAGAGTCAGTTCTCTTCCTCCTCCCTCTACTTGGTTCTTTTAAACCCAGGCCCTTAGGTTTGGACAGCAAACACACGGAACCACCTCACCGGCCCACAATTAAATTTGATGTTAGTTCCTGCAGGTTCTTTTTGTCACTGTGTTACGGAAAATTATTGACATTCAGATGAATCAGATAAAGAAGTTGATGAATGTGTGCAGGATGTTTTTGTGTGTTCTTCAAGGGTCTACCACAGAGCCAAGGGATTGTAGAACACTTACTAAGTAAAAACTGAGGAGTAAAACCTTCATATGAGATGAATTTATATTCTTTCAAGAAACTATTTCCTTTAATGTTAATTGAAGTCTTTCTTCAAGTTATTTTTTGTGAAATTTTCCAACTTCCTGTCAGTGAAAAGAGCCAGCAGAAGCTAGGAATGATAGTGAGTGTGTACCACCAAGCCTAGCATGAAGGAACTGGAGGCAGGAAGATTGCCAGGTGGGGGCTGGCATACCACATAGAGACCCTCTCCCCAAAACAAAAAAGAATCCACAGTAACTTGTAGATGAAATTACAGGAGTAAAAATTGGCTAGCTCAAGTAAGTTCATGAGCTTAAATGGTAACTTAAAGTTTTATGTTTGAAATCACAGAAGCCATAAAATGCTAAAAGAAGAAATGAGCCATCAGTACTGATTTTTATGGAAATTTTTTCCAAAGGCTTACAGATTTATTGAATTATAAAATATTCAAAGGATGCTACATTTTATAGGGGTATGGCAGTATTCGAGAGTGTTATAAAAATTAATTAGCTTTACAAAGTAATTGGAATTTTAGAACTGCCCTGATTACCGTTAATGCTCATCCAGGTGGCTTAATTTCCAGGTGATAGAAATAGGTGTATGCAGTCATCTCTTCCTGCCTTGTTTTCACTTAACACTACAAACCACCACAGTATTTACAGGTTGGAGAGGTAGAGTGGAGAACAGAGGGCCAAGTTGAAATGGGAAAATGTATAGCATAAAATATACTGCACGGCCCAGCACAGCCTGCCCTCCTGAAGTAAACAGGTTATCATTGTTAGGATGATTAGTAGAAGAGAAGCTTCTTTCCATGATTGAGCTGCCAGGCACGTTTTAGAGCCACAGCTACTCCACTTGGAATGCAGTCTGGGTCTGTATGTTCTTCTGGCTTACCTGTTCCTCTGGCCACATGGTATTTGAACATGAGGCCTTTCTTTTCAGTGTTGATTTTAGGTCCATTTTACCACACTGCCATGTGCTTCTGCCATTATTTATTCACAGTTGCTCTTTGTAAAACTGATTTTTTTTTTTTTTTTTTTTTACTCTTTACATTTTTTGCATGAGCATATGTGTATGCATTCATGTTGTTCACATGTGGAAGTGGGAGGACAGTGTGTGGAAGTCAGTGCTTTGCTTGGACCATGTGGGCTCCAGAGTTGGAACTCGTCAGGCCAGCTCATCTTCCCAGGAACAATATTTTAAGATAAGATCATTAGTATTTACAGCACCCAGCATGTACCTGGCACATAGACAAATACCACTGATTTCCTGGGAGACTTTTCAATAAACTAATAGTAGAGTTCTAAATACCACCGTGAAGAAGAGATGGGCTTCATTTGCTCATTGATGTTTCTCAACTCTTTAACCTAAGGAAGCAATAGGGAGGAAACTCAGGCATTTGTAGTGATTTCTCACACTTCCAAAATGGATTATAGCTGTTAAAGAATGTCATTCCTTTTATATTAGAGTGTTTTGCAGGAGTTTCGGTATCCTCTGTTGTAAAGTATCACTCTCTAGAGTTACATCAGGATTTTGCCCTCTCTGCGTTGTTTGCACCATGTACTTCAGTGGGAGTTAACAAAGATAGATGTCAGTGTTTATTTTGTTTTTTGGAAATAGGGTTTCTCTGTATAGCCCTGGCTGTCCTAGAACTCTGTGTTGACCAAGCTGACCTCAAACATTGCCTCCTAAGTACTGGGATTAAAAACATGTGCTTGGTGTCAATGTCTTTAAGTGTTGTAAATGGAGAGTCCTTGTTTGATAAAGACTAAGGGTTAGATTTGTGTATGTGCCTTACTCATCCATTGTACTCAGCGTTCTAATTCAGATCATAAACATTACTTTTAATTTTAGGAACAAGAATTGAATGCTCGAGCCCGGGCTCTACAAGCTGCATCTACTTCATGTTCATTTCGGCCCAATGGATTTGACGACAATGATCCACCAGGAAGCTGTGGGCCGACTGGTGGAGGGGGCGGAGGAGGATTTAATGCAGTTGGCAGACTCGTGTTCTGACCTGAGAGAGCTGGCAGTGCATCTGGTCACAGAACATCAGTACTGCAGCTGTTCCATGTCAGGCTGCAGCCCATAGCTTACCTATCCTCTATTTTTCTCTTCAGCAGACCCGAGTACTTTCAGAAAATACACTCAGTGGTTGTTTTTATTTTCTTGACAAAAATGCATCATGGAAAAAAAAAAATCTACCTCTTAAACTTCCATTTGCATTTATGGTTAGACATGCTTGACCAAAAATGTTGAGAGGAAAGGAGTGTACCTGGTCTCTATAATTAAGCTGCATTAAATTTGGTAGAAGGATTTAAATGGTGTATTTTCAGTTTTACTGAACGAAAATAATTCTTTTAGCATTCTTTATAAAAGAATTGAAGCTAGAGATTCAACATACGTTGTTTTAAGAAAAGTGAAAATCTTTGTTTCTGGTATCATTACCCCATTATTAAATTCAAGTCTTTGAAAACAGTAGAGATGATCAGTCTCTATGGAGGCAATAACAGTTTTAACTTGAGCCACCAGCCTTTGGGGCTTTTGCTTATGCTGTCCTCAGCATCGCCTAGTTTCAAGAACAAGTGTCTTTAAAGGATTATTTACACATGTGCCGAGGAAGCCTGCAGAAGGTGCATGATGCGGTGGGGCTGTGTTTTAACCTGTGTAGTGTTTCCAGTTGTCCAAGGACTTTAAGATCCTGTTCCAGGGAGTGTATCTCCTGTGTGCTTCAAAGGAGGCGAGTCCTGTATGTGCCTTGCAGTACTATAATTCAAAAATAGGTTATCTTTGGCTGCAGTAAGTTTTCTAAAACAAAATGTTAGGAAGTAATTTTGTGCTAACATTAAGATTATAATTTTTTAAAGGTATTAGATTTTTCAGAAGTAAAAATCTGATGGTTCTAAACCAGTAAGTATAATGGTAAATTTCTAACTCTTAGAAAAATTCAGATGAAATGAAGCTAGTTTAAGTAAAAAAACAAAAACAAAAACTTCAATTGATTTGTTACTTAATCCTCAAAACATTAAACATTGATAACATTTTTAGAGTTGTATATTTGGGGTTTTTTTCCTTTGTTTGAGACACATGCCTTACACAGTTTCTGCTTCATAAAATATTAAAATGCCACACCCCACCATCCCTACTATCCTTTTTTGCTTTTTCCTTTTTGGTGTTTGCTGGGGGTGTTTCATGTGTGTGTGTTTCTTTTTGGTTTGGTTTGGTTTGGTTTGGTTTGGTTTGGTTTGGTTTGGTTTGGTTTTTTATGGTTCTGTTTTTGGCAGGAAGCTGGGTACCTGTCACTCCTCCTGGGTCTTGATTATATAGTACTCAAGTGTTGTCCCAGATACCCTTCTTCCTGTCTGGTTTAACACATCCATGACCATGTATTGTTCTGAAGATCACTCACATATCTATTTTTAAAACACTTTAAGGAAATAATGGTCTTTGGTGACTTAAGGTTTATCTTTTTCCCAAGCTTTTGTAACAGGGATTAAAAACAACTCCTCATCTTCATCCTGCTACCTCCCAGCCCTGGCCTGTGTCCAGTCACCAGGAAGGTTCTGAAAGCAGGCTAGTCTATCGATGGGAGTGCCTTACAGATTGATGAAAGCTGCTCTGCCCTTCCAGGGAAGACCTGTGGGCTTCCTGCAGTCCTGACCAGGCTTTCCCGGGTTACCCTGTGTTTGGTCAGCCACAGGCTGGATGGTAACTTACAACCAGATTGTGTCAGTCTTATCATTTGCTGAAACTGATAATTCATTCAGCACTTGAGTTAATATTGGTTAAGGTGCTAATGGAACATCTGCAAAGGCAGTCAGCCCCAGTTTTCCTTGTGACTATCAAAGATCTCACGTGTTTTTTGTGTGCCAAACAATATTATTGAATTGCAAATGAGAAAGTGTAAATTCCAATAATAATACTAGGATTATTCAAATTTTAATTGACTAACCAGTGCCCAAATTGAGGGCTTTCTTTTAGGATCAGGAATTAGCACCCTAATGCCTTGCTAGATTTGATACCTTTGGAAAGGGAGAGAGCTCCCTGTTGAGAAGCCCACCCAGCTGAATTTAGAGGAACTGCTGCACCTCGCACATCTGTTACTGCTGCCTCATTTATACAGTGACACAGGGCTTCCCTGTCACCTGTACCTCCAAGTCCTCCTCACATTTATTCTTTGTAAATGTTGTCGACGTCTCATGCTAAAGGCTGGCCAGAGGACCATTGTTAACTTCTGTTCAGTTCAAGACAATCAGCTCAAATGAAACTGCCCATTGCTGCTAAAGAGAATGTGTATTAGGCTTCACTATAACCCAGAATGTACAGCTACACATGTAAGTCTGTGCCCCTGAAAGATGTCTCTTGATATCTCCTCTGCCCGCCCCCCCCAAAAAAAAAAAATGCAAGGAACAAAATATATATAGGGCTTGAAAGCCCATTTAGTGGGTGTGTAAAAGTCTGAGTCCTGACATTCATGGAGCCACTTGGAGGAATGAACCTGGATTGAGGCATCAACTTCCACTTGAATAGGCAGAGGCTCTTCCTTAAGAGGCCATTGGAGTCCTTTAGTGGCGACACAAGATTCCCTCATTTTCAGTCTTAGACGTATTGCAATCCTTCTGGCATTTCAAGCAGTTCATCAGATCACATCTAGGAAGAAAAAAATTTTAGTCTTAGATCTATAATTTTGGGGATCAATAAAATAAGTCATTGTGAAAAGGTGCTTGCCACCAGGCTTGAGGACCTGACATCAATCTTCAGGATCCACATGTTGGAAAGAACCAGCTTCTACAAGCTGTCTTCTGGCCTCCACACATATGAATTGGCACAAGCACACCCATCCACATACATACACACACTAGAAATAAAAACTATGGTCGGTTTTCTTTGCCCATTTAACTGTTTTGTTTTTGTTTTTTGAATCAGGGTTTCCCTGTGTGGGGCCCAGGCTGGCCTTGAACTCGGAAAGATCTGGCTGCCTCTGCCTCAATTACTGGGATTAAAGGTGTCCACCACCACACCTGGCCCTTAACTGTTCTTTTATGATGGTGTTGTCTACAAAAATATTTTTCACGTACTGCCCCTTTAATGCTACCCTTCTATAAATGAAGATTGGATGCTTATTCTGTGCCCAACACTGTAAGAAGGGAGGAAGAAGTTGGTGCAGCTTGTCCAGTTACTGGAAGTCTTTGACTATTGTTTTGTTCAAGGTGTATACATTGCATAGTACAGTCTCTGTATACTCGAGCACTTTTTGAGGGAGTGTCTCAATGAAAATGGTACTGTACATTTCTATATAGCATCTTCTCTCAAGAACGCCATACTTCAGGCCTGGGGTTATAGTTCACCGGCAGAGCTTGCCTACCATGCACAAATCCCTGGATTTTATTCCAAGCATCACCCACACCTTTAATCTCAGTGCTTGGGAGGTGGAGGCAAGAGGAGCAGATAGAAGTTCAAAGTCATCCTCAGCTACATAGTTCAGGACCAGCCTGGGGCAAATGAGACCCTGTCTTTAAAAAAAAAAAAAATCTTTATGTATTTCACTATAGTGTTTTTGTTTCTACTGAGTTTGGACTTGTGAAACTATTCCTGAGGTGGAAAGGTTATCTGTGTTTTATTCTAAAATAGCTAAGTGTTAACTGTTACTAAAACTTGTGACATCATTAGAAGAGTAAGGATAAGTCTAGATACCCTGTAACTGAGGTCTAAGTGCAGCAACAAGGCAGTTGGATTAGAAGACACCCTAAGTGAAAAAGACAGTAAGCTCCTCACTTACTGAGCAGACTTGCCCAGCTGCCTACTTCTTCACTGTTGGGCTCGTTTCCCTTGCTAAGTTTTTGTAAAGAGTCCTTTTTTAGAAATGAATGAACCTCAAAATAAGTAGAGTTTGGTTTTTTGTTTGTTTGTTTTGTTTTTTTTTAAGGGATTCAAAGTAAACAGTGCTTTTAAAAAAGAGTATTTTAATCAGCAGCTTTCCCAGGCAAAGAGAAATTCCTATGGAAGAAATTTTTTCAAAGACATGAAAACCAACATTTCTATAAAGTCAACAATCTGAGTTTCAGGCATTCAAAAGTTGTTATGTAAAACCTTCGGCCCCAATGTTATGTAACCAGTGTGGGTTTAACATTAAAAATAGAATCTAAGAAGTCAGCCAAGAGTATTGCCAGCTCTTGTCAGTGTCTGTTACAGCCTGCAGTGTTCTCGCATGGATGTATTTTCCCGTGTGTGCTACACACCAGCACACACATGCATACAACTTCTGCACTGATTTGGGGGCGTGAAAACCTTACTTTCACTCACTAGATCAGCAGAGTTTTGGTGCTGGTGAGGTTTTGTTTGTTGTTGTTTTGCACATTGACGTTCATGTTAAAAATCACTTGGAAGCTACCTATAGAACCACATACCTTCAATGCCAGCACTCAGGAGGCAAATGCAGGTGGATCTCTGAGTATGAAGTCAGCATCATCTACAGAGTGAGTTAAGGACAGCTGGGGCTATACAGAGAGACCCTGTCTGAAAAAAAAAAAAATCCTTGTTCAGGCCTCATCCCAGACTAATTAAATTATGAGAGCACTGGACATCTGTGTTTGAGGATATGGTGAAAGGCTGGGTTGAGAGCTTAGGGTCAGAGGAGGAGTCTTCTTCCTAGGGCTTTTCCCCAGGGAAATTCGCATAATGTTACGTGTTTCTCTATGTGCTGTATAGTGCCAGATATTTTTGCTTTTAATTCACACTAGCTTCGTAGTGGCCTTATGCCCATAACCATCAGAATGAGGATTTTACCCATTTTCAAAACTATAATTGGTAGTCTTAAAATGGAGGTAGTGACAGAAGGAAAATAGAACTTTCCCAAACCACATGTTAGTAAAGCTCACACTAAGTTTAATGAGGCATTTCTTCTAGTCAGCCTAGATGTGGAAACCAGAATCCAGGAGGGTGTGAGGGAGGCAGCCATGAACATGGGGAACATGTTCCGGGGACCAGCATCGAGGTTCGGGTCTATTTTCACTACAGAGCAGTAAGCATTTGTATACAGCCTTTGGACCAATGGTGAATTGACACGAGCTCTGGGGTAACAGCCATCCCCCTGTCACTACCTGTCACAGGTGCTAGGCCTGTGAGTGCCCGGTTTCCGTGAAGATGGGAAGCAGCTGCAGCTGGTTTCCGGGCCCATTCTAAGGTTCTACTAGTTTGCTAGGATCCTCTGTTTTGTGTCACTCTGTATGCCAGCAGAAACAGGCACGCACTATAAAGCAGTGCGGAAACCTCCCCCCCTGTCCACGGGCCCCCACTTGGGGCCACAGCCCCAACACCTGGCCTTTGTGTTTTGTGAGTGTTGGTAGACCGGACCATCGTCCCTACTCCACTCCCTGCTTACAGTTACTATTCCCTGGTCAAGTAAGAGAAGGTTTAACAGTAAAGGGGAATTGGCTCTGCAGGATTTTTTATACTCAGAAACAGGTCAAAGTAAACCTTAAAAAGAGTCAGATTCTATTTAATTTATTGTGTAGGTAATAGAACAAAGTTCAACACTTTTTCAAGAATAAACATTTAGGAAAGTAAATTCATAATGATCAAAATTACCATTCAAAGTCAGGAAGACATCTTCTCACTCACAAGTGAAAATCTGTTAGATCCAAAAATTAATGGAAAGGAGGGAAGTTGCAAACTAGAAGCCTAAAAGAAACGTGAAGAAAAACACATGGAGAGAAATGAAAAGATCCGAGAGTTAACTGAGGCTAGAAACTAAGACATGCAGTAAGGGCACCCCATCTTGTTACTTAGAGACAGTAATGAAGAAAATCTTAATGCAGCTAGAGAAAAACACAGATAGACCCAAATTCAGCAAACTATCCAGCCCTCAGACCGGGGCTCTCCTGCCACCTTCCTGGAGCTAGACTGAAGCACTAGTCCCTGTTGCCTTACATACTGTCTTTTTACATGCTACTGTGGCAGCCTTGAGTGCTTGTAGCAAACTGTCAGTAGCATAGTTCTCAGAGTACTTTGCAGGAAAACTGACTCAATAAAGACTAAGAGCTGTCAGGGAGCATACATTAAAAAATTAAAACCCCCAGGGAAATTTTCGAAGAAGAAATGAAGTAATTTTTTTAGATGTATTTGGTTACTGTTTTAATTGATGGCAAA